CTCCTGGGAGTGCTCGGGGGAACAGGGATTCCCCCAGTGCCTGCTGGTCCCCCCTGACTAGTTTGTAACAGGCCACCAGGTCCCCCCTCAGCCTTCTCTTGTGGAGGCTGAACAGGTTCAGGTCCCGCAGCCTCTCTTCGTAGGGCCTGCCCTGCTGCCCCCGATCACGCGAGTGGCCTCCTGTGGACCCTCTCCATGTTGTCCACATCCCTCCTGAAGTGCGGCGCCCAGAACTGGACGCAGTACTCCAACTGTGGCCTGACCAGTGTCACGTATGGGGGGGAAGATCAGCTCCTTGGACCTGCTCGAGATGCATGACAAGGTGCGGAGATGCATTGTTCTACTGTAGATGCGTATAATACACATTTATAATTTAAAAGACTAATTATCTCAGTTCAGGTCCATGTAAAGTTGTGGTCATGGATTTCAATGAGCATTGGATCCAGGTCTAAAATAAGTCACTGGTACTATTTATAGATAAATGAAGATAACTAGCTGAAACCTGCAAAACATTTGCGACTAAATTTTTATTGCAAAACTATTTCTTTAAATACAGGATGTTTAGTTATCCTTTGACTGGATACTTTAACGGAATCAAAACTTCTCCCTTGAAAAGGCTACATAAAGCTGTCCGTGTGTAAACACAGGCTTAGGAATATAAACAGGTATTTTGTCAAGAGAGCTTGTGACTTGTTTACTGGCATAGAATAAGAGGGCCCTTATATACTTGAGGACACCCTTTTAGTGTTTAATTGCTCTAAAGGCACTGGAAGCCCAGGCATACTCAGAGAAGCTTGGGCTTGGTGGGTTTCCAGTGCCCCATGCACCGTCACCACTTCCTTCTCTGGCTGCCAGCACACCCAGTTGCCTCCTGCCACCTTCCTGGGGCGGCCAGCCCATTCCTGGGCGGTCTCAGGCAGTGGGGACGGTGCACGGGGTGCTGGAAGCCTGCCAAGCCCGAGCTTCCCGCACCCCGTGCACTGTTGGATCGTGCAGGTGCTGCCTGCAAGCTGGGGCTGCACACATGCATCTAGCACCCTGCCCGGGCAGGAAGCCCTGGGGGGCACTGCTGCTGCAGAGAGAAGCAGTGGGCCCCCTCCATAGCTCGGGGGCTGTGCGATGCAGTGGCAGCTTGCATGGGCAGGCTCTGCTGGGGGGGAGTTGTTTTTTGGGTCCCCCCCCAAGAGCCTACCTGGGTGTCCCGTGGCTGTGGAGCGAGCTGCCATTGGGTCGTGCAGCCCCTAAGCTGTGGGGGATCCTGGTGCTTTCCTCTGCGGTGACAGTGCTGCATCGCCCCCCCGCAGCACTCACCCACTGGCACCCTGCCTGGGTGGTCCCAGGGGGTGTCGCTGCTGCAGAGGGAAGCACCAGGGCCCCCTGGAGCTCAGGGTGCAATAGCCATGGGAGAGGCAGGCCGGCTTTGGGGGTGGGGCTTTGGGCTCACCACTTTTCCCTTTGGCGGAGCCTGTCCGCTCCATGGCTGGGGGGGCCTGGTGCTTCATCCTAGCTCTGACTTGCCTGCATATCTGTTTGACATGCCTAAGGATCTTCCATAACATGCTTATTCTATCTGTTTGGAGCACTCTGGTTGTTTCAGTAAGCATTGTGACTGGCTGCTGAGACTACAAGTCAGAGTGCTCGAGACGGACAGAATAAATCTATTATAGATTCTTAAAGTGTCCTGCTGAGTGTTTGAAGCTGGCATCAGAACCACATGCAACCTCAGGCTGACGTTTCCAAGCTTGTTAACAGTGTGTTGTTCGGTGACATATTCTCTTGAATTGCAGCAGTGTTGCTTATGATGTGAGTTATTTTTTAGGTTCATTTTTTGCACGTAAGGCTTTTGAGGTAAGCTCAGCAGAGATTCTCGAATTTGCTAAAGAAGGATGGGACAGGGATGCAACTGGTTATGGCAGAAAAATTAGGAAATATGAAGGAGAATTCAGCCTCTGAATTCTGGCTACTGCAAAGCAAGCTCCTGGATGCTGTATGAAGGGCAGTAAGCTTTTTTGACCCTCTTCGGATGAGGCAGAAGGAAGCGCTAGACAAGCCTTTTTTCAGTCCGGTTATGTATTTGTGGCTCGTTATTTCTTGCAATTCTAGAATTAAACACACACAAGTATTGTTGGGGGGGCGGGGGTCAGAGAATTTCAGTGTTCCAAGTTTGTAAATTCTATATACCTAAGAAAATACCTTGCTTGACTCAAGTAAGTCACCCATCTACACTGTATTTTCAAAGCCTACCTCTCGCTCTCATCAGCTGCTTTTTCTGCCTCCTCCAGCTTCTGCAGGGCTGTGGCCAAGCGTTCTTGGGCACGATCCAACTCCTCCTCCACTAGTTGGATGCGTCTGTTCAAAGCTGCCACTTCACCTTCAGCCTAAATACACCAATCAACAATTTTTTTTAAAGGCCAGCAAACGTCTTACCCATTAAAAATGCAAATTTCATGCAACTAATTTCTTTAAAATAAAAGGGCTTTTTGTTTTGTTTTGCTTGCTTCTTACATGCAAGGAACTCTAGGTCTGGACCTACTTTTATTTAAATATATAATTATCAAAATGCCATGGTAATAGAGTGTTTTATATTAATTACACACCAACTTTCCTCTTTCTAATCAATCCTTCAATGAAATTAGCCATTAGGTCTCAGTGGGAAGGGACAAGAAGAACAACCATAAACAAGTTAATTGCTAGCACTATGGATGAAAGGGACTCGGGGGTCATGACTGACCACAAGATGAACATGAGCCTTCAGTGTGGTGCCGCAGCTACCAAAGTGAGCAAAACGCTGGCTTGCATCCATAGATGCTTCTCAGGCAAATCCCAGGACGTCATTCTCCCATTGTACTTGGCCTCGGTGAGGCCGCAGCTGGAGTACTGCATCCAGTTTTGGGCTCCACAGTTCAAAAAGGATGTGGAGAAGCTTGAGAGAGTGCAGAGGAGAGCCACGCGCATGATCAGAGGTCAGGAAAACAGACCTTACAATGAGAGGCTGAGAGCCACGGGACTCTTCAGCCTGGAAGAGCGCAGGCTCGGGTGATCTGGCAGGCACCTATAAGTTTAGCGGGGCACTCACCAGGATCTGGGGGAATGTCTGTTCGCCAGAGCGCCCCAAGGAATGACAAAGTCGACCGGTCACAAACTGCTCCGTGACCGTTTCAGGCTGGACATAAGAACTTCTTTACTGTCCGAGCCCCCAAGGTCTGGAATAGAGTGCTGCTGGAGGTGGTTCAAGCACCTATTTTGAACGCCTTCAAGAGACATTTGGATGTTGTTTTGCTGGGATCCCTGCTGACTTCCTGCCCCTGGGGCAGGGGGCTGGACTCTACAATCTTCCAAGTTCCCTTCCAGCCTTAGTGTCTATGAGGCTAATGGTGCTACACAGATTCAATATGTAGAAATCTGGCTGGAGTTGGAAGTTTAAAATACCTTAAAATTTCTAGATCCAAAGTGTCTACATCTGTGTTACGCTGATAATCTAATCGAGGATCCTAACTCTTGCCTCAAGTGGTTTACCATTGAAATGTAATTATTTCAAGCCATTCCTGTTCATTACATGGTCATCTAAATTCATAAACCGCCCACTGTTTTTGTGCTTTTGATTGTCTAGAGGACGATTTGTGCATCACCAGCAGAGTTACCACTCTGTGTTGAATAAATGGTACACAGATGAAGTAATTCCACTTGACGCCTTCTACTGCCACCTCCAGCCTTCTAAGAATTAGGTGGTTGGGGCAAGATGGAATACAGGTTGGGGAATCTGTTAGGATGAGGAGTTTAATACGCAGGGAGATGACAGTTCTGTCAGTATCCTTCTTACCGTGTACAAATGAAGCAGACCTCTTGCAACCTTGATTGTTGATGATGTCTGAAATAACCTGTTCCTACGCTGGTGTTTAGGGGGTCAGATAATGCTCATGTTTCACAACTGGCTAACATGCATCTCTTCTGACTTGCCACTTTGCGAAAGTATTCTCCACTCACAAAGTTGCATTTCTCAAATGCAAGTCAGATTGGTATGGTTTAGCTTTGAATTTTGGGTGTGGTAAGTCAACATTTATACTTTAATATGCCCGCATATTTATTTAATAATTAAGAACCAAGCAAAAATGATATGGTAAGTATATAATTGGGAGAGTTGGCTTAAACTGGGAATACATGTTAAGGTGCAGCATGTATTCGGATAGTCTAACAATGTTTACCAGCTTGGAGGTAGTTGAAACTACACCTTCAGACTCACTTTGAAGAACTAAATTAAGCAAGGTAGCAGATAGTGGTTAGAGTAGTCTTGCAAAGGCTTATGTAGAGAGATAATTAAATTTATTCTTTTTCCACACATTCTTTCTAAGTGAAACCTATTCATATAAAAATAGAGGGGGTGGGGGTGCTCAACTGATTCCTGTGGTGCTAAGTTTGAAATATAGTTATGGCTGATCTAACTAGTGCTTAGGCCCACTCAAATCTGATCCTCAGTTCAATGCCAAGTTTCAGAAAACTTTTTTTTTTTTTTTTTTTAACCATTCCCCTTGAGGACAGGATGCACAGGGACAAAACTGATGCGTTCGGGAGTTTTATTGCACTGTATTTCTGTATAATACCTGCAATGACTGACTTGCTGTAAATCCAGGCCTTTGGTCATTGCACATCTTAGGGGCCCGTGCACATTTTGTTCCTTTACTGTGCTGATACAGTAGAAATTCAAGTGTCTCCTTTCCCCAGTGCAGTTCTGACCCTACATTTTTTTCCCCCTAAATTACGAGTTTTTTAATCATCTCTGCAGTGATTTCAATTGGCTGACTTCCTATAATAGCCACTTTAGAAAACGGGCATCAAAATCAGCCTGAGCTATAGCCCATTTAATTTGTGGTTGTAGCTTAATGAAGTCAGATTCTAAGCATCTTTCCTTTTTTAATTCATTTTTAATGTGGCTAGGAAATAATTTGGAAGAAGAGACTGCTTAACTCTCTCTTTTTAAAGCTTTCCATACTTTTATAAGGAAAATCCTTTGTGGAGTAACTCATTGGCTGCATTTGTGCTAAAATAACAGAAAGATACTGAAGTGAAGCTAGTGCCTAAATCTATAGCAGTGATTCTGAACTGGGATGCCAGGGCAGGTGTGAAGGTTGCTGGAGGAAGTAATTCCCCTGCGAGCTGCACAGGGTGCTGATGCAGACATCAAAGGTAGCAAGAGACCTGGGGGTCTTTAAGAGGAGGCTTGATGCCTACCTAGCTGGGATCATTTGAGCCCAGTTTTTTCTCCTGCCCAGGCAGGGGGTCGGACTTGAAGATCTGTGAGGTCCCTTCTGACTCGACTTCTACAATTCTATGAAGAGAATCCCAGCAGCGGGGTGGGGTGGGCAGCCAGGGACCTGTTGCAGGGTCTTGGTTTCTCCCGCAGGTCCTGGAGCGGAGCCTGTGCGCAATCTTCCACCTAGTCTCTCTGCTGCTGGAGACACTGGATCTTTCGCTCCAGAGAGAACACGAGGGTCATGAGCATGGTGGAGATGGGATGGGACACAAGACTACTGCACGTCCTTGGCTTCCCTGCTGTCCTGGACCCACCGCTCTTAGTGGGTTGGTGACCTCAGTACCTGGGGATGGCATCCCATGGCAGGGGCAGCTGGCAAAAGAAGTGGAGCAGGGGTCCTTATTCCAGACCTGCAGGAGCCTCCCCCTGCATACCAACAACCCAGCAGATAGCCAGGGGCACCCTCTGTGTGGACCCCTAGGGAGTGACCTGGCTTCCTGTGTTCTGCCTCCCTGGAGCGATGTCTCCTGCAGATCGTTTGGCAAAGTTGCCCTCCCTTGAACCTCAAGGGATCTTCCCCATGGGAGATGCAATGTCCAGGAGGCCTTCCTTGGGTTTTCCAGAACCACTGCCTTCAGGGAAGAGTTGCTCAGGGTTCAATGCAGCAACACTTGCTCCAGCTCTAGTGTGTCCACCTCGGTGCCTGATTCTCCCCTCCCCCTCATCGACCTGTTCTGGGTTCCCACCAGGACCTCTGCAGATGAGCTTTCCCTTTGGTTGTGACTGAAGAAAACAAGGGTGCAAGCCTTTAGATGTGGGGAGGACACCAATTGTAGGGACCTTGTGTGGTATTTCTTTGAGTGGGTTATGGCACGTGGCCATCCTGAGAAGCACTGATCTTGTTCCCTGTGCCACTCGCCGTGTAGGGTTTGGTGAATTCAGTAGCTGACTCTAAAGCTTGCCTCTGAGATCCCTCTGGGGCAAACCTGGTCTTGGGATAGTTATGTGCTAGATCTAGCTGCTGGTCAACAGACATGTGCATATTGTGGGGGAGAAGTGTGTCTGAAACATAGTCTGATTTGTGCTCTTTTGTTCAGGTGACTGTAGTAGATTAACTTGTACTTGACCATAACAATAATGTGCTAATTTGTGTTTCAAAGTACAGCATTCTAGTTACAAACCTTAATTATTTGTTTCTACTTACATCTGTTGCCTTCTTTTCAGTCTGCTCCAGTTTTTCCTGGGCATCTTTAAGAGCTTCTGAGTATTTGTCCAATTCATCTTCAGTTCCTTTCAACTTCTTCTGCAGGGCCATTAGCTCATCTTCTACCTTTCAAGACGGGAAAGATAAATTGTGAGCATTTTGACATAGGATGTACCGTTTTCTAGATATGAGGTAGCTAAAACGTCTTTGTACTCCTACTTGTAGATCATATTAAGATGCCCAAGATGTTTTTAAACTGATGTTGTGGAGCAGTTTTTATTCATGAATTGTTCAAAGTTCCTGAGTAATGTCTGTTAATTAAAGCCAAGTTAGCTCGTTGTGTCGCTAGCTGAGATCCACATGGTGCAGTTCTGAAGCCAGACTCTATCCATGTGGCTAAGTGGATTTCAGCCCTGCTACAGAAATCGTCCGAAGCCTTGTGTACAGTGTTGTCATGGCTTTCACTTACTGTTCGGTGTCACTTTTCACAGAAGCAAGTCCATCAGTGCAGTTCCTGGAATAGGGGAGTAGCCATAGTTGCAGCATAAGCAGGAAGGCAGTTGCCTTAGTATGTTGATTTGGAAGCTGTTTCCACAACAGGTTCCTGAGGTACAATTCCTCCACCCAACCCACCCCACTAGTATCATGTACCTTCAAACTTTTATCATTTATTTTTGGTCTATATGGGATGTTCTGAGACATTCTCTTAAGAATGACCTCCATCAGCGTTTTGCTCCTAAGGGAAGCAGTATTAACAGATATCATAGGTTTATTTTTACCGAGACACTGGCTTGAACCAAGTTCATATATGATGTTTTGAGGGAAGGAGGGTTAGGCATGGCATGAATTCCATCTTATCTCATTGTTCACTCTCTACCATACCATATAAATCCTTATTGTATCCTACAAAAAGAAGCTATTTATATCCTGCTAGGAGACTGGTGACAAATCACATGGGAGCAAGCGTATCACAAAGAAGTGATGGGGTCTGCAGCCCGTCTGATCTGTCACTGAACTTGTATCACTTCTGTTTCAGTGTCTTTTTTAAATGTATTTTTATATTAAGTTATTTTCGGGCAGGGTTGAGGGAAAGATAGTTGGGTTTTTCTTGCTTGTTCTTTTTTAGACTGATAGTGTATTAAACCAGTTAGTTACAATTCATTTTACGTCTGTGTCCTCCTTTAGTGCTTTTTTGGATAATGTCTTCACTCTAGGGTGGCTGGCCTTTTAATGCATGTTTTGGCATGTTGCATCTGTACATCTCTCTATCTTTGCATTGGCAACTTTTAATTTTGGCATTTCCTCGTGCTCGAGTTATTGACTTTTGTAATCTAATAACATTTAATGTAGCTGATAATAAATATGAATGAAGAATTAGCGGTGGATATACTAGCTACCAAATTAAATTCTTAGGAGATAGATAAATGAAGAGAACAAGCTCTGCACTCTTTGGAATTTTTTCCTCCTATTGTCTTGCTCCGTGTGTTTTGAAGTGTGTGTGTTTTTTTTTTTTTTTTTGCTGTCTGAGGTTCTAGAAATTCAGCCTAAATATCAAAATATATTCGCATTCAGAGGGAATGTGCACCAAGAACCTGCACCAGACTAGAGCAGAGAAACACACTTTGAGGAAATTGGATACAAGAGTTATCAACATATATTTAGGAACCACCGTATCGGAACTGATTTAAAAGTTTGACATTGATCTTTCCTAATACCGACAAAGTGGTCTGACCAATTAGAAAAAGATTGTGTCTTTACCTGTAACCCACTGGAACAAGGGCCAAAATTAGAGTCAGAAATGGAATCAGTTTTTTGGAATTATTCTACATTGTTTAAACCCATAATTCCTTATTAACACGCTTAATTTTATAAAACTTTTTTGCTGTGCTAACATTGAAGAGCAACAGAGAGGAGAAAATAGCAATAAAAAGACACCCAGGTGATTCAAAAAATATGAAAATTGGAGCTTGGGTAAATCCCGTGGTTTGTTCTGGGCATCCTTTGCCTATTTTTTCCACCCCCATTACATTGTCTGTACTGTTGGAACTCAGTGCTGCTGTTTTTGGTGCAAGGCTATCAAAGATCTCTCCTGAACTCTTTGAGTACAAAGTAGGATGTTACTAATGATAATGTCCCCTTCTGCAACAAGGTAGCTCTTCAGTGATCGCTTGCAAGCAGGGAATCAGAAGAGGATGAATATATTCACATGCCTTTGCCAAGGAGGGGCTGTTTGCTGGGTCTGACTGCAGAGCAACCCAGTGCACTCAGGCAGGAGAGGGGGAAGGGGAGGGTGCTCCTCACGGGCCTGGGTATTTGGTGGGGTAGAAGGGGGTGGAGTTATGGCAATCTAGACTGCCACCACCCCTCTGCCACGTCAAAGTTTCCAGACTAATGGGGAAATCCTCTCTCTCACATAATGCACACCCTAATTTTCACCAGTTGGTTTTGGCGAAAAACATGCAGGTTTATATACAAGGAAACAGGGTATTTAAGGATCCCATATGCCTGTTTAGGGATGGTTTGGACTACAGTAATGAAACCAAAAGTGGTGTCCGCTTCATAAATGCTGCCATGTATTTGGGAAAAAAGTACAGTATTAACCTTGCATATATTTATTCACTCTTCATTGCATTAAAGAGGGGGCTCCTTATTCTTTGTCAAAAGTAGGAATATGATTGATGTTTCTGCCTCTTGTAGTATCAAAATATTTTGGAATGTGAAGTAGTTGTAGAATTGATCTTGAAAGCACTGAAGTTGCAACTTTTCTTATTTCTGTTTAGCTGTTAGGCTAGGGTTAGGTATTTCTGATTATTCTGAAAACAAAAATGTTGCAGTACCCTCTAGTGTCTGAGCTCAAGGTAACTTGGCTCTAGAAGTCAGGGGTATTTAGATTCTGGCTAATAAGCAACAGTCACTTAGATATGCAAAGGGGAAGGGGGGCAGAAACTCCTCTTCAGGTATCTGTGCCATCCTTTAGTATTAGACCCTAAAGATTTGGTCCTTCCCGGGAGTTGCATACCCATGGAAGTTATGTGGGACTCGGAAGAAAAGGAACTGTCTATCCATAACACATTGAACAGTTCAAGGCTTTGCTGAGTTACAAATTGAAGCAGCTGAACAAGCAAGAAGAGCTACCAGGCTATAACTCCTGCATGTGTTTAAATATATTGTGAAAATATTCAAAATAAAGTTGGTGAGTGGGGAAAAATCCCTGGCAGTATTATCCTGCTTTCTCACCATCAAGATTTTGCAACTTAATACTCTTATTACAGTATTCTCCACATTTTCCTTAT